CAGGAATACACTGAAAAGGTTTATCATGAATTGAAAGAGTTACTTGGGACACAAATATCACCCACGGTTAAATAATAAAGGTTAGTAACAATAACTGGGTAAATAAATGCCCTTTTGGCTGAAGCAATTTGTATTGAGCTAGGTATCCTCCAGCTATGTTATTTAACCATAAAAAAAGCCAGCTAAATTTGAAAAAACCAAATAGTACATTTATTGTAGAAGTATTTATCAGATAGTCTTGCTTATCAGAATCTGAAAATGCCACATTAATCATAGATTTTTAATCGTAGAATACTTTAACATTTTCATGTCTCAGTGAAATGCCTAGATAAATCATATTTTATATACATATATATATGTGTACATACGCACACACGAACACACACACCCCCTACCTTTCTTAAGTGTTTTATATTTCTCTTCATTTTCCATGAAGTTAGGATCCAACTTGAAAACATCTTTAAAATAAAAGATAATTTTTATTCATTTTGTATTCTTACATAAAAGGCTGCATATTTAATCCTATTTTTTTTTTTCATAAAGAATGAAGTCTCATAGAATTATCTTCTATTTCTAACTTACTAAGAACATCCTCTGGGTTATAGTCATCTTCTAATGGCAACATATGAGTAAACTGATCCTCCTCTTCCACAAGATCTAATCCCTCTGGAATGATGGGATGATCTTTGAAGCCATCCTTCCGTACAGCAAACATAACTTCTATCATGTATTGAACACGCATGTCGATTTTAGATTCATGCAGAATGTGACGAAGACGGTCAAATATTGCTTTGGATGAAAAGAGAAATGTAAATGTGAAAAAGACTTATTAATAAAAACACTGAACAGACAAATGTTCTAGCTAATTATACTTACCATTAATGCCTCTAGGAGATACTTCTGTTAATTTCAGCCCACTCTCTTTAAGAAAACCAATTGCTACTTCAATACTGTCATCAGTAGGTCTTTCAAGAAGCAAGGTGAGCATTTCCAAACATAAAACCTCATGAGCCTTTGGGGAGAGTATTAATAAAGAATTAGAACTTACAGTGTTCCCCTATTACTACAGCGACCCTGTAGATTGAGACCTACAGCTTTTGAGGATGCCACGTCACACTTGGTTAACCACATGCACATGACAACATTAGTGAGACAAAGTTAATCAATACAAAGCCAAAATTTCAAACAATTTTGCTTCCTATACTTGCACCAACTTTGTAGAGAACGTGACTGTACTATTGAAAAGTGGCTACTCTCCAGCAAGGAAGTAACGAAAAAAGAACTGCCATTAGGAAAAATATAAATACATTTCCAAGGAGCAAATAAAATAACACATTACAAAAACGTGCTGGACTTAAAATACTAATTTTTAAGTGGAACAGGTCTACAGTCAAATCGGTTCTTCCAGGAACAGGTATATGAGCAAATGGAACATATCAAGTCAGTTTCTTCTTTGTCAAAATGCTGTATATTCCCAATGTACTCCTAGAACACTGCTTCTTGTTGTTAAATTCAGGTATTCTGTTTCCTAACATAAGGAAAAGGCACCACAGAGCTAGATACAAATTTGATTTAGATGCAACTGAAGCTAACTCTCGTCTCCCTGCGCAGATGCACAGATGCAGATATGTCCGTATGAGAGTCAATGCTGCAAGAAAATTCTGTTTTAAGATCTTGGATCCACCAACTTAAACTTAACTGCAGGACAGGCCTCAGACTAAGCTCGCTTTACATCTAAAACTATCTGAGCACTAGCCCAAACATATCTGGAAACTTTGAGCAAGCTCTGGAGCATAGGTGAAAGGGCAAGCATCCTTCCACCTGCAGAAGGATAGAAGTGGCTATTCAGTCTATGTCTGATCCCATATATCCCAATCCTCCAATAACTGCATAGCCAAATTACCAGATGCAGTGTATTTTCCAGAAAGGTCTTAATAACTTTTAGAAAGCATCAGGAGTTTATAGAAAGTCAGAGCTCAGGTTTCTTGTAGAACAGGCAGAAATCTTCGCTTGGACTACTGCTGTCTTGAAGCTAAAGAAACGACCATAGAGAATTGGGATTGAGGAAGAAAAAGAGACTTACCACATTCTGATTCATCAGATGCGCAACAAACTTTGAAGATGTTAGACAGAGTTGCTGAAAAAGAAAGATGTGCCGTAATTTTCTATTATTTTACATGGAATAAAAATTTTTAGTCCAGACATTCTTTATATAGATTTATGCACATCGCAATCTGAAATTATGTCACAAAATTAACTACTGAGGGATACTGGTAATTATATTTCAATTAGGACTGCCTACTTTCAAACAAAGAGTACCACAGCACTAACCTCATCAGATTAGCAAGCTTTCACAACACTCTAGTATTACTGTACTTGGTATAATGTAGGTCTGTGTATGATGATAGGTCCTGACCAAAAGGTAGTGAAGCACATAATTTGAATGCAGTTGGCAAGAGGTTAACACTGCAAAATTACAAGTTTCAGCATGTTGCTTCTTTACACCTGTCTCACCTTATCATTTCTGCGATATCCTTTCCGAAAATTTAATATCAACCTCTTGAGAATCAATTCACCAATATTTGGAAATTTTGAATTGATAATTGCCACAAGAGCTGCATAAACATGGGTAAAAATTGGAGAGGCACTCTGAGCTTGCAAAATGGATCTCGACAGCAATCCCCTGTAAAAATACAGGAATTTAAGAAGCAGAAGAGTATTCTGGCAACGAAAACATTAAATATTTTCATTCAGCATCCATCATATAATAATACAGCTGGAATAATACAGTTGGAATAATTATAAAAATATCAAATAACATTAATTTTCACAAAGTTTATTGCACAAATGGAGTTTTGTAAGATGTTGCCCAAATATGTCCAAGCTCAGAAATTCTTAAACTGATACCTTATCTTTCAAATATTATTCCTATTAGAATTACATTTTAAAATGATAAACGTTTTTAAAGCCCTCATCTTGTAGAAATAATCCTGCAATTATCCTATTTTTAACCACAACATAAACTCTTTGAAGCTTCAGGATTAACATGATCATGCTGTTTCTCTCTCAGTTAAAACAATAAGATTGTTTCTGACAAAAAAACATCTGCTCTGCTACTAATTAAGAAAAACACAGAACCGCATTCTAGTATTACAAATAACCTAAGAGTAAAATGAAATTCTAAGAAACAGAAATCATATGTCATATGATACCTCTAACAATAAAGACCTACCTAAGATTAATGAACGTTCAGTGAAGTCAGAATAGCCAACAAATTAATACTTCTTAATACTTTACTTGGATGAACCAGTGCATTTTCTACATCATAATTATGTTCTGGAACTGAGAGCTGAATATAAAAGATTACTTCTAAAAGCGAAATGAATAGAAACAGAGGGCTCAAGAGCTGATGGTTATTTTATTACACTAAATGTCTCTTCTACATTAACTTTAAAATTGAAAAAAAAACCTTTGAGAATTTGTCTTAGATTTGCATTTTCTAATCGCTTTAGGACACCGAATTTGACTTTGGTTATATTACTCCACTGGAGTAATGGAAAAATTGGAAGAAGACAGGACAAATGGAAAAGGAAAGCCCTCCAGATTTGCATCTTCACAGTGCATACTGGCATTCAAGTTATTCACTGCCATCTATTGAAATCTGATTATCTTCCATAGAAGCCCTACACAGATCTAAAAGCAAATTGCACAATGAGCTTATATCCACTTATTTTTGAGTTGATAAATGGGATAGAACACATTTCATATTACTAAAAAGAAACAGAATAATTCATTTTGAAACTATGAATTACTTCTGGATTGCAAACTGGAAGCGTTCTAGTTTTGATCATACTTACCCTCCTACTTGAAAACTCAGAGCATTGCATAACAGCTAGGTAAAAAATAGTTTTTGTTTTTTTATAGTTTTCTTTAAATCTGATGTACTTTTGCACTAATTTGGAAGCCAAAATTTACAGTAAGAGGGAAATGATGCCATTCTCCATCTATGATTTTTTCAATAGCTCCATACAGAGAGATTTAACAGTTTATAAAGTAAAATATACACAAAGAACTTCCACAAACAAGTGTATTCTAATAACACTTACCAAACTTACTTTTTAAACTAAACTAAGTATTACTGCTTGCACAAAAAAATACATTTTGGGGATATGAAACGCAGGCACATAAAAACAGTTCTAAATTAGACTATTTAAGGCTTCATTATTACCTCTAGCAGAAATAATTTTGGTAGCATAAAAATAGTAAAAGAGAATTAAGCAGTTATTTGCAAGATTCTCATCTTCCCGTCAAGTTTTAAAAAAATTCCTTGGCGATAAGGAAGGAACAGAAGAGGAGACTTTCCTCCTCAAATAACAGTGCATTATTAAGTCATGACAGAAGAAAAGTGTTATAATGTATTTGGAACATAGACATTTTAGAACTATCCAGAAATGTGTTAATTCTAGATGTAAAGTAACTACTTGTTCTTAAAAGTAAAATGTGTTACTTTTCTGTTTTGTACAACTGTAAGAAAATCAAGCATACTATTTAAAACAAAAAAGAGTACTTTTCTATTTGCATGTATTAATGGTTCTGATAATAGACAAGGTATCTCTATTAGATTTTTGAGAATAGCACTTTGATAACTACTTATGGATTATACCCATTTTCAAAAATTAGCTTACTAAGATCACTACATAGTTCTGAATTACAAACTCCTGTAATATTCATTCCCTTTCTATTGTCATGCTTTAAATTTTATTTAAAATTAGATGCAGAAGAGGATTAAAATTGATTTTACAACTTGAAAGGAAACTATTTCTAATAGTTTCCAACTATAGTAATAATAACAATAGTAACAATAGTAATTCCAACTGAAAATAAAATGGACTTTTCAAAAAGACTATATTCTCTCTCTTTTGAGGAGGTAGCATAAGGAAGAAGCAAAATACAGAGAGCTCAAGAAGAAAAAGATTATCAGAAGCATCTAACATTTGCTGTTTGGTCAAAGATGTTCAGTTCTCATGGTAGATCACAGAACAAGGCAAGCGGAAGAAAGGAACGTCCAACTGACTTCTATAGGACTTAGGTCCAATTCCTGTTCTGCAAAAAGTTACTCACTGCACTGAGCAAATTTTGAGTTGGCAAAACACTATTCAAGCCACTCGTTCTGAACTTCTAAATTATCTTCCTGGAGACAACCACCTCATTAACTACTCAGAAAATCCAGATGCTTAAGTTTGGACTTCTGAACTGTATTCAGATTATATACTTGAAGACATACAGATAGGATGAATATATCCACATCTTCTGCAGTTATGCCTACCCAGTATGAGAAAGTAACGCCCACCTACCTAAACGAGTACGAATGAGCTAACCTGACTATTAAAACAGCACATCACCTGCTAAGATATGATATGCTTTTTGGAGGAACAAATAAATAAATGAATAAAACTTTGTGAAGCTGATTCTGTAAGTCCAGCTTTTTCCTTTTCTTACCAATGCCAATTAATCAGGTGTGACATACACCATGATAGTGTAACACCATGCTGATTTAGCTGAATTCTGGTACATACCCTAGCTCACTTCAAGTTTTCTCACCTATCTTGCAAAGCATTACGTAGCTGTATTCTTCAGATCCTCATTATCAATTAGTAAATTAAAAACAAGAAAAAAACACTACTAATCTTCCAGCATATAGGATTATTACAAAAGTTAATGTATTTAAGAGAAGATGTATGCACTAAGTTGACAGAGGGCGTACAAATGTTTTAAGTATAGATGCACTATATTCTCCACGGAAATAATGTGCTTGCTTCCTGCTTATATAGCAGCATCTTGTTATGTTACTGTTTGCACAGAATGGAAACCTTATACACTCAATCATTTGCTTTAGTAAAACCAGCTTTGTAAAAACAGAACAAACTATACTATCTTTCAATAAACTTTAGACAGGACATTCATCCATACCCTGGAAAACAGCAAAAATTTCAATTTTCAAGATGGACCTCGAGCCTGTGTTACTTTGGAATTGCAATAAAAGGACACTAATTAAACTACGGCAACATTATAGGCTTCTGCTGGTTGACACGTCCTTGTTGGTCAGGGGCGTAAAAAGATTACAGCTTTGTCAGTCCAGTCATCTAAATTGCTTTTTTTTTTTTTTAAAACTGAAATACCCTTTTTATTCATATGGATTTATTTCTACAGGCACAAAAAACAGAGCCCTCCTAACTACACAGGCCTCTAGTGTAGGCATGGTTTACTAATATGAAATTCCAATATGATAATATCAACAAAGCATTCAGTCAGTACTAATAAGGCCACAGGAATCCTTCAGATGTGCTACTTTCAACCTGTTTTTCCATTATGCACAAGAAATGTGCCAGGAGACCTATTCCAATATTTTAAACTTAAAAGAGTTTCTACCCAGTAACGTCTCTCATCCTATCACCTCGATTCTCCAGAAGCAGTAAAACAGGTAACATAATAGCTATAACACAGATCTCTGACGTTTTTCCTATCTAAACTGACTTTACTGCTGAAGTGCACATAATCAAAAGAGGTTACACATTATTGGAGGCCATCTTGTTCTACGTGGTTTTTTTTTAAAAACTGAAATACCCTTTTTATTCATATGGATTTATTTCTACAGGCACAAAAAACAGAGCCCTCCTAACTACACAGGCCTCTAGTGTAGGCATGGTTTACTAATATGAAATTCCAATATGATAATATCAACAAAGCATTCAGTCAGTACTAATAAGGCCACAGGAATCCTTCAGATGTGCTACTTTCAACCTGTTTTTCCATTATGCACAAGAAATGTGCCAGGAGACCTATTCCAATATTTTAAACTTAAAAGAGTTTCTACCCAGTAACGTCTCTCATCCTATCACCTCGATTCTCCAGAAGCAGTAAAACAGGTAACATAATAGCTATAACACAGATCTCTGACGTTTTTCCTATCTAAACTGACTTTACTGCTGAAGTGCACATAATCAAAAGAGGTTACACATTATTGGAGGCCATCTTGTTCTACGTGGCAAAGTTTGCCATGCAGATAATACCACTGTTGAATCAATAGTTTTGCCTGGAACCATGTTTAGCTTTTGGTTACTTACATTAAGACTCCCATCATCCTTTAATCTGAAGTATCTCCTGTTCTGCTATTAACCACTCCTTGTGATTCTGCAAGAACCTCTAGTCTAAGGATTAAACATGGTTTGGCCAGGTTCTGTAATGTGTTTTAAAAAACATTTAAGTTAAATGAAAAGTTCAGTGATACTGGAATTGCAAATTGATTCTTGGGAATTTCTTTCAAGATTTTAACTGTTTTTGTCAGCTATTAAAAAAATCAGCTATAAAACCAGCTATTCAGTTTTGTTCAGCAAGGATATTTTTAAGTGATAGCCAACCTAAGAAACCTACATTCTTTTAAACAAGCAATTTTAACACCTAAAAACAAAAATTAAAGCAAGGAAAGTCATCACAAAGTACTTAGACAGTCACCATAATTCAGTACTTACCTGGAATAGCACAATAGTTTTTCCTCCACGTTACAATGGTAACGATGAAGATAGTAAACAATTCAGTTAGCTGCAGTAAAAAATGTTCTGCTAAACATTGATAGAAAACTATTATTTGCTCCAGATAAAAATCCATTAATTCCAAAGTAATTAAGCACAGACACTTGTAAATTGCAAGTCATTCAAGTAAAACGAGTAGGTAAAATAATTATGAAAAGGAAACATATACTATCTGTTGTACCCTTTTATTCCTCCAAGCATACAATACCTTTTTCCTCCCCTTTCCAAGAAAAGTCTTCTGTGTAGGACAAGACAAACTTAAGATCAACTTTAAAATTTGGCTAGTACCAGTACACTATACATAGCACATGTATTAACGTGCACATGAACAGCATATATATTAACATAAAAGCAAAAGAGCCGTTCTAAAACATTTTGATGCTTACCTTCCCCGAACAATATTTTCCTGAAGAAGTTCATGAATGATATTTTCTATATTAGATACGTTCACTTTATTGACAAGACCATTGATTGACTTCTTCAAAGCTTCCCAACTCATCCTCTGATATGCCAAGCTATTGCAAAGACATCACAAATTACTCATGCAGGCAAATCTGATGTAGCAACAAGTATATTTTTTATATACACACAAATGTTGAATGTAAGCTGCAATAAATAAAGAAGGTAAAAAAAATACACACTGCATAAATGTGAAGACTGGTTCACAGTTGTACATATAGCTACTAGTAACCACCAAATCAACATGATTTACTTCTCCACAGACATTTTATAAGCTGGTATGTTCATTTTTTTAAGATAGTCCAAAAAACCTGTTTATGCTCTGTGTATCCCACTTTTCCATTTATATTTCAAATCAGAAGCACGCCCAGTCTGATCTGGATTTTTACAGATTTTTACAGGCAGAGAAGAAAAAAGGGTTTTATGGAAACATTTCTCTTACCTTTCTTCTGACAAACCTTCACCTTCAAAGATGGATCATAACCCTTAAAAAACGCATCCCATTTTCACCAGCATTCCCTAAAACCTTCACTTTTTTACTTTTCAGTAGACATTCTGTTCAACTCACCTATTTTTATCAGTGATTTGTTCTTGCATCATCCTAAGCTTGGCAGGTGGAATATATGCTCCACCTGTGCGAGTAAGGATTGGATCCAGCTCTTCTCTCTTCTTCTTTGAAGGGGGCTCATCATGAGGAAGTGAGCTCTGGGGCGCCGACCTCTCTGGACTTCTACGATCTGGGGACGAAAATTTTCTCTGCTTCCTTCGATCAGATTCTCTCTCCCCCCATTTCTCGTGGTACCTATCTCTCTCTCTTTCCATCCTTCTACAAGAAAACTCACATGTTGGTGAAATGTTTTCACCTTTTATTTTATGAAAAAAGCTTCATATCAATTAAAAAAGGGCTTGATACTCACCTTCCCTCTGAAGTTCTATCATCATAGTAGTCCCTTCTTGAATAGTCCTCATATCTGCTGTCATCAGAGTATCTTCTCTCTCTGGGAGACGGAGACCTGTCACGTTCGACATCCCTATCCCTACCCCAAAACACAAAATTCTTAGTAAAAGGCTTAGCAGAGCTATACGAATAATATCTATTTGCCATATCATTTGTTACATATATACAAGCAGTTGCACTTCTTCACCCTATATTGAGTCTCAATATATGCACCATTCAACAGAGGATGAACACTTTATAACAATACATTGTCAGTAAAAGATAAGAGTTATCAAAATTAAGAGAAGACTGTAAAAGAAAGCTCCTTCTAGAACTTAGAATTAAATGTTAAATGGTTAACAACATCAACTACGAAAGGCAAATTCAGCACTGTGCATTCTTTGGAACATACGTACCCATTTGTTTCATCTACTTTTGGTTACGTAGCTTGAAATAGAATAGGCGTTATTAGAAAAAAATGACACTGTGTTTAGTACACGTGGTTTCATTCCAAGCAAAACGTGAAATTAAAAGAAAATTGCCAACAGTTCATCTCATGCTCAAAGACTGCATTTCAAAGGACATTTCTGTCTCTCCTGCTGGCATCCATAATCTTGCTCTAAAATGAGCATTGTGGTATCAGCAATATAGAGGCCCAAGCAAGAAGCTGGAATTTAATTTCCATTTTTAAGTCCTTTGGCATTCTAAGTAAATGCTAAAGAATTTCTAAATGTTTAGTCTAAAAAAAAAGTCTACTTAATTACCGCTCTCCCAACTTGCAAATAAACCTATTTGTTTAAACTCACAATTATTTTTCAATGCTCATTTATGATAATACATAAAAAGATTTCAAAGCTGAATTTTTTTTTGCACTTCAACTCACTATGGGAGGTAGGTATACAGAATTATTATAGGGCATACAAGTTAACCATTTCTACCTGTCTTCTGGAGACAGACTTCTTTGGCGTGAACTGTAGCTTTCTCTCCTCTCATAACTGGAACCATGCTTAAAAAAAAGAGAAATAAATTCAAGTCATACATTATATAATAAATATTGTAAGCAGACATTTCTTTGAGATGGGAGTTGAGTATGTCTTTGGTTCCCCACCCCTTACAGGAAATAAGGATCATCAAATAAAGTTAATAGTAGTCAGGCTTATAACAAGGAGATTTGGTTCTTCAAACAACATGTAGTTATGCAGGTGAACTCCCTGTTACAGGATGCTGTAGATGCTAAAAGCTTACATGGGGGGTTCAAGGAGAAAAAGGACAAACATGAAAGAGGAAATTAACATGGGTTACTAAATACACAGAAACTGTATCTGGCTCAGGAAGCTGCAAACGGAGCTGAAATAATTCAAGGTAAAAAATAAAGCACATTTTAAGGCTTTTTTCTCTCCCCAAAACAATATAATGCAGGATAGTATCCGAGGTTTCCAAGAAATCAGTCATAAAAGCTCTAAAGATACAGAGCACATACAGCACCAAAAAAAATCATGATGTTAACTATAGCACTGTTGAACAGATGGGAAGAGTTAGGTCTTTTTAGGATGACTTGCTGCTGTGAGTTCCATATCTGCTTTTCCCCAAACACATCCAATAGGACAAGTGTTCACTGGGGTAAAACAATGTAATGGATGACTCCGTATTTGGGAGTTTGTTCTCATGTCTCCTTGCAAAAGTAGCTATGTTTGATGAAGAGCCTGGCATCCTCAGCTCTTTGTGACAAGTCATCCTGCCACATGCTACGTTCCCCTTCCTAGTCCATTTCAATCAAAATGATAATCTGAAAGTGTTTCAACAGTATGCTTTCGCTAACTGGTTTATTTTGACAAACAGATTAAGGAGGACTATCATAACCATCTGATCAGGAAGACAGGAGGAGATATCAACCTATCCCTCAAGTATCCCTGTCAAACACCACTTCAGTCAGAACAGCTAGAATCAAAAGAATTAAGAAGCCTATGTGGGGTGAAACTCTAGAAACAAAAAGAGAATAATACTGTTTTGCTATCCCATCTCATATCTCGTGTGCTTGACACATGCGGCATTTCTAAACCATTAATCTAGAAGAATAATTTTGAATTTAAATTTTTCTTGTTGCATTCCTAAAAACCATCACTCCCATCAATTCAGAAATGCGTTACACAGCTTTCAAAAGGAAAACTTTTCACAATAAGAACTAAAACCACCACATTTAGAGCAATGCCAGTAACTCCAACTCCTTGCCACTTCCTGTCTCCATATCTTTTCATTCTGACATCACTGTTGACATTTCAACATTCCTTTTCCCCACTCCTCCATTCGTTCATGTTCTGTTTTCACATTCCCTCACTTTTCACCATTTGTTTTGTCATTAAATCAGGACATCCACTGTTAAAGACAGTGTGTGTCACCTTACAACTGTAATTCACTGACTTTAGCAGTAACATTTCTACTGCAACCAACTGCTACCAGTTATGCATATTGTTCACTGTTTATTCAAAAGCTGTTTTATTCAAAACAGTATCAATTAGAAAACCTATCACTAGTAATACAGGAATAATTAAAGAGAAAGAGGCAATAAAGGAAGACTATTCTCTGCATAAGCCTTCCGCAGAGTTCATGCTGGTTTGGTATCAACTTAAAGATGATGTTTCAAGCGTTAACAACGAGGTCAGTTAAACAGGAGAGCACATGAAGAAATACACAATTCAGATCAGGAAGGCTCAGTCAGACCCAATAGGCATTTGGGAAGGAGGAAGGAAATGTTAAAGTGGACGAATAAAGTATATAAAGTTTTTTTATACAAAGAACTACATTATAAGTGAACAAGTACAGCATAAGCAAGCAAGCACATCTTTGAAAAGGATGCTGTTGCTACCTGTATGAGGAACACAGCAATAATATGCTTACAAGTATTGGGTAAAACAGCTAAATGTTAAGTGCCTTCTAAGTATGACAACAGGACTTTTGTTAAGTGCTCTGCCAACCGGTAAAATAACAGCAAGGAAAACTCACCTTTGACAAACAAACAGTGTTAAGAAAATTTAATTTCCAATGGAACGAAAAGGGAAAGTGATGAATGAAAAGCTAAAGGATAAGCGCTAGACTTTCAACATAACAAATCTCCATACTCTAACACCTGACAAAAAAACTAAACTGTAGTACCCCAGAATTTAAGTTTAAGAATACTTACATTTATTTGTGCCACTCTGCTCTTCATTTTGTCTTCTACTTTTTAAAAGAAATTCTGAATATACAGAAATGAGAAAATTCAAAGTGTAGTTCAGTGTATCCAGAACATTTCACCTACAAGACACAGAATACAATCAAACCTTTCTACTGCTGCATTACACAAGAGATATACTTAAAATAAACAAGAACGCGTTATGATTTTTACCATGATTTTTCCAGGAAATATACTTTTTAAATAATTCTTTTACCAACACAGAACAGCTGTTTTTAAAAAGAATAGTAACTTAAAGTTTGATTTTACATATTTTATTTTAAATCTACCTAGATCTTTAAAATAAACAATCTAAAACTGTTTCCACTCTTCTCTTGCACACAAATGCTACTCTATCAGAAGATGATGGAATTTTATGTAAATGTAACTTAAGCATCAATATCTTTTGAGAGGCATGGGCTCCAAGCAGATACAATCCCCAAAAGATCAGAATTAAAATTGATTTTGGAAAAAATCAAGATTTCTTCAAACATCTGGGCCTAACAAACAAACTAATTACTGTTCTTTGCAATAATCATTGCTTGTGGAAAAAAACTCGCACAAGTCTTATTTAGTATACAAAGAGATATTGAGTTTTAATGCGCTACCATGGCCCAACCACTTACAGCTTAACCTGTAGGTGAGCCAGCAGGAAGAGCAGAGGCCTACCTCTCACCCACATAAATTACCTACTCCATTGGAAATTTAAAATAATATGCCAGACTGTCAGTCGAGAGGCTGCAGATACTTGTTTTCATCTTATTTCTATTAAAGGTGTTAACGTGCTAACAATATCTACTCAACTGGAAAAGCTCAAAGATAAGAATCTTACTGGCACAAAACTAGGACCCTGCTATTATTTGTTGCTACTTATACTTTCCAACAAGATATTCCCTCCGTATCTTACCAGATGAAGGGGGGGGGAAAAAAACCCACCTCCCACACTTTCTTTTTAATTCATATTGCTACCATACTATAAATTCTGTAGTGGAAGTAAAGAGAGAAGGCAGAAGGCTGAAAACAGCTCCTTTAGTTTACAGCTGTATGTTTTAAGCATATTTTGATTTTCAAATCACTTTTGACAAAAGTTTACAAAAGCAACACGGTTTTTCCCAAATTTCTGAAGGTGAACACAGCTAGTTAGAAGAACGTTCTTATTCTTGCTTTTCTGTATTCCTAATTTTAACAGCTATTCCTCCCAACAGCAATCAATTAAGAAAAATTTTTAATCTAGCAGTTACAGGCAGGCAGCACCTGGGGTTAAATCTAGCTACGAACCACCAGGAGAAGCGCTACAAAAGCTTTCCAAGGGTCTCCGTGGCGACGCACTGGGAACGCGCGAAGAGCGGCAGAAACCTTTCACACTCAGCGCGTTTTGGCGCGGGCGAGGCAAACGCACACCTGGAACAACCACGACGGGCAGGGATCAGGCCCCTCGCCACATGACCCCGGCCCGCCACATTTAACCGCCACGGCGCTACCACAGCGCGCAGCAAACGCCCCTGACACCCACACCGCTGTGCACCGCGGCAGACACCGCTTCTTAGGCTGTTCTTTACAGGCCGGCTTGAGTACTTCCTTAAAACAAAACAACCCCCCACCCCAACGTATGTCAGACCTCTTAAGGTTATACAACACACGCCGGAAGAGATGAAGATTTTAAAATGGCAGCTGCGACTTCACCAGCAGCA